GCTGGGGGTCGACCCGACACTGCGGAGGCCGGGCGAGCTGCAGCCCTGGGGGTGCCAACAGCCCATCAAGGGCTCATCCGGTCCAGGGACAGAGGAGCTGGGCGGGAGGCAGGCACGGAGATAAGACGGCGACCAGCCCAGCCAGAGGGCCTGGGCTGTGGCGACCGGGCCCTCCTCCATGCCCAACCCCCATCTCTTTCTCAGCACCCAGGAACCGCCCAGAGGCTGCAGGGGTCGGCAGAACGGATGCCGGCCTGGGGGAGGGGAGGGCCTAGCGCTGTGGGTAGATGCAGGAGAGGGGCTACTCTGCGTGCAGTGTGGACAGCCTGGAGACCCGGGCAGGCCTGGGGTCCCGGCGAGAGATACCCATGGGGTTCTGGGGGGCCCATGCCCTCCAGACTGGAAGGGGCCACTGGGAGCGGTGCGAGGAGGTGAAGGAGGAATGGTAGGGCCGGCCTAGGGCTGCACCAAGAGGCGGAGAGTGGGAGTGAGGAAGGAGGGGGCTCCCCACCCACCAAGCTCATTCATCACTGCCACAGGTGAGGACCACCATGGGAGGGGGTGGCCGACTGAGGCTAGGAACTGCCCGGGCTCCCTGGTGAGACAGTGGGGAACCCTGATCCACACACTGGCGAGGGCCTTGTGGAGGCTCCAGCCTTGATGGGTAGTGTGAGTTTGGGGCATGACCAGGGACACAAGAGGACACGCAGGACCTCAGCCCCATCGCCGCAGGCCCTCGCTCCCTGTGTTCACCTACACAGCACGTGTGCACAGTGCCCACCTCATGCATGTGGCACACACAGGCTGTGGCCCCCAGATGCACGGAAGGCCCAGGAGGATGCAGTGCAGTCAGTAGGTTTTATTTGATGAGGGGGGTTTTCTGCTGAACTGAGTTGGGGTTGCTTGGGGACAGAGCGAAGACTGGCAGAGGGCACACGGGACCCTGGCCACTCCCTGGACCCTGACCACTCCCAGGCTAGGTCGTTCATGTCTTCAGTTCTTCAGTCAGGCGATCCTGGGGCCCCATGGGGAGAGCCCACATCCTGAGTGGGCACCCCCTACCCATGACAAGCCTCCCAGAAGAGCAGCTTCTAGCTGATGCTCTGAGTCACTCGGAGCTGGTCACCGGGCACTGGGAAGGTGGCCAGAGCCGCGTCTGTGGGGCCGAGCCCAGCAGCAGCAGCAGCAGCAGGTGGGCCCAGGCAGGTGGGCAGTCGTCAGAGCCTTTCTGCGGCTGCCACTTGCCCGCCTGGCCTCGCAGGCGTCCCTGTCATCCCGCAGCCGTGTGTTCAGTTCCCTAGGGAAGGAGGAGTCAGACATTGAGAGGGTCTGAGGGAGCTCAAGGTTGGGGGGAGGCGGGCTCTGACTCCCCTCAGACTGAAGAGAGGTGTCTGGCTGGGACTGCAGCGTGAGGGGTGAAAGGCAGACATAAGAAAAGATTCCAGTGGAGTAGAGTGGCAGCCAAGAATGTTGGGGAGCTTGGAGCCCCCAAGCTCTGCTGAGCCCCTTCCCTCTCAGGCCTGAGCCTGACTGTACCTGAGCAGCTCCAGTTGCCGTAGCAGGCTGTCTTTCTCTTTCTGCATGTTCCTGGAGACGGCGACCACCTCTCTGTGGGTGGGAGGTGGTGATCCGGCTGCAGGAAGGCTCCTTGGGGAGCCCCAGGACCCCCTAGAAGACCCTCCCTCCCACTGGGCGGGCCTGGGACTTGAGATGGGGATGAAAGTGGCCCAGAGCTGAGCGCCTGTCGGCCCCGCCCGCGGGACACGTACCGGGGCCCGCCCCAGCCCCGTCCCCCGGCACCGTTGGGTTTGCTCCTGGCGGCCTCGCGCTTCGCTCTCCAGCCTGCGGATCTGCTCCTGCGCCCCTTCCAGCTGCGTTCGCAGCGCCTCGTGCGCCCGCCACAGCTGGGAGTTCTGGGCCTGCGCCTCCAGGTGCTCCGCAGCCCGGGCCTGCAGCTGCTGTTCTAACTGGAGGGTGGAACGGTGGAAGGATGGAGACCGGCAAGGAACGCCCCCTCTTCCCCGGGGTGCTGCGCGGGCCCCAGGCTCCAGACAACCCGGGGACTGGGGACGCTGAGGCACAGGGGGAGAGTGCACGGGTGACCCTAGGGACGGGGCAGGGGCCAGGTGCTCACCTCCCGCTGCCTCAGGCCTGCGCGTTCCAGGTCCTGCTCGCGGCTCTGCAGCTCCAGCTCCAGGCGGCTTCTCTGCTCCCCGCGGGCAAAGTTCTGGGACGCAGGGAGGACCACTGAGCCTCCGCTGGCCGCCCGGCCATGCAAAAGAGGTACACGGAGGGCCAGGGACTGGGAGTGGGCCAGGGCGAGGCGGGGTCGGGTGGAGAAAACCAGGCGGGCGTGATGGGTGAGGCCCAGCGGGGTCTCATCGGGCTGAGGGCAGCCTGGACCCGCGGAGGTGGGGCCGTCGGGGAGGGATTAATCCGGAGAAGGCGGAGCCAGGAAGGCCAGCGCGGTGGGATTGGGCCTGGCGGGAGGGGCGGGGCCCGAGACCCACCTGACTCGGCTGGCGCCGGCTCTGCTCGCGAAGCTGCTCGGTCTCCTCGTACAGAGCGCGCACCTCCCTCTCGTGCTCGCTCTCGCGCCTTCGGGGGACCAGGCGACCCCGGATGAGAACTTGCCAGTGCTACAGCCCCCCGGCACCACCTCTGCTGCTACCCTGAGGCCCTCCACTGGCTCCCAGACCCCACCCCGGCCCTCACCTCCGCAACGCCTGCTCCAGGCCGTCGCGCTCCCGGGCCGCCTCCTCCAGGCAGGCTGACGCGCGTATCAGAACATCCTCGAAAGAGCTCAGCAACTCGGGGCGCTCGCGCTGCAGCCGGGCCCAGAGCGTCCTCACAGCCCGCTGCCTGGAGGGCGGGCGGGAACTGAGGCTGGAGCTGGCAGAGGCGGGGAGCAGGCTCCCCTCCGCCAACGGCAAACCCTTGGGAGACTCCTTCGTCCCTGGGCAGGACAGGAGCACTTGCAGCGTGCAGGGCATCCCTCCCGTGAGCGCTTTCGCCCCTGCCCGGCGTGCGTGGTCGGTGTGCGTATCCCGGGCAGTGCCAGTATGTGGCCCCGCGCCCGGCGCTGCCCCTCCTCCCTGCAGCCCTGGCTGCTGCCTCATGAAATGCAAATTCTGCGGGAAATCACGCCAGGTCCCTCCCAAGGAGTCGCAGCTGACGCTAGGCTAGGCCTGACCCGCCCTAGAGACCCTGTGCAGGACCAGCACTCGGGTGACAAAGGCAGACAGCATGCAGGCAGAGAAACAGCAGAGGGGGCAGTGGGAGCGGGGCCAGCGCCGACTCACTCGCCCAGGACCGGGGCCACCCCCAGTTGCTCCAACACAGTGTGGAATCGCTCCTCCTCTTCCTCCTCCTCCTCATCCAGAGAGGCCCCCGTGCCCTGCACGTCGAGCCAGCCCCAGCCCGACTCAAAGGTCTCCTCGGGAGTCCTGCGGGGGGTCGCTCCCTGGGCCGACTCCACCCCCACAAACATCCCTGCGGGCATGGAGCGAGCGATTACCACCGCTGTGGGTCGCCACCCTGGCTCTGTCCCCGTTCACCCTCCCAACGAGTATCCTGCCCTCTCTCAGGGCCCAGTTTCCTGTTTTTCTTCCTTATTCTGGTCCTATTGGCCTGGGAACAAGAGGTGACAGGCCGGCTCCCAGCCCCACCGGAGCTTAGCACGGGAGAGGAGGTGAGGGGCAGGAAGGTCAGCTCCACACACTGGACAGCAGCTGGGAGCCCCCAAGCGCCAGTGCGTGCAGACACCAGCACGGGCCCCGGAGGGAGGAGGAGGAGAGGCACAGGCAGCCCTCGGGGTGCCACAGGTGCCAGGCCTCCTGATCAAGCCTCCAGCTCTGGGCAGTGGAAGATAGGCAGGCCTCAGGCTCACCCAGGCCCAGGCAGAACTCCCGGGCAGTGAGAAAGCCAGTGTGAGCCTGGTCCAGACTTTCAAACACGGCCTCCAGCTGCTCTGGTGTGAGGGGCAGGTCGCTCTGGAGTCCCTGGTCAGGGAAGGAGAGCAGAGATGAGCTGCTGAGGTCAACCAGGGCCAAAGCAATCTCTTGGGGCGAGGGACTCACCTGCAGGTCGTGCCTGGTGATGAAACCCTTGGCCTCCTTGTCACACAGCAGAAACAGTTCCTGGGCCTGCTCCAGCATTGCAGCCTGTGGCCCTGCAGAGCCCCCCTCAAGTTCCCCCTCCTCCTCCTGGGCCTCATCAGCCCCAGGCTTTCCAGGGCTGGCCATGGGAGCAGGGGGCCTCAGTTGGCCTTCAGGTGCTGTGAAGCCAAGGAAGGGTCAGAAAAAATTCAGGAGGGGAGCAGATGGGGTGCAAATATGTCTGACGGCTCAGCTGAGGGCCCTCCCTGCAGCAGGTGGGAAGGTGGGCGGAAGGCAAGGTGGGGCCAGGGGGGTGGATGTAGAAAATGCTGCAGGGTTGGGGTGTCACTGGGGTGGGTGATGCAGCTCAGGACCTGTGAGTACTGCCCCAATGGGTCTGGCATCTCAGGAGGTTGGAACCCAGGGAGAGGCTACAGCCCTAGGAGGGGCTGCCGACTTTGGGAGAGGGGGAGCTGGAGGTGAGGGCAATCTCAGGGGCCAGTGGAGAAGACCTGGTGATAAGGAAGGTGGGATCCTGAAAGCTGAGAGGAGCTGGCTGCAGGTCAGTGAGGGAGGAGCCCGTCACGCTCTGCAACTGGAGATCTAATCCTAAGTGAGGGCTCAACCAGTCCTGACCAAGTCCTTAGCCCCTGGCCTGGGCCTGTGTGGCCCAGCCTCATAACAGCTGGCAGGCAGGGCAAACTTCTCCCTTCTGCCCACTGGCCCCTCCCTTTGCACAACTAAGCCGACAGACTGCAGGGGCAAGGTCCCAGCCTGCGGAGCCCTGCCTCTGAGGCTCCACTCAGAAACACTCAGATTCGAGACCTAATACCCCTGCCCCCCAACACTAAGGCCCTTCCCTGTCCCAGAACTCCCTGGGGCCTCCCATCCCACCTCCTTGCAGGGACACCCCTCCCCCTAACCAGAGCCACCTGTCCTTCACACAGTGTCCTAATCCCGGATTTCCCAAAGCTGCTCCCCAGCAAAACCCGCCTTCCCCAACCAGGGAGCTGTGATCCTCTCCCCTCACTCCCCACCCAGGGTCCTTCCAGGTTCCTTAGCCCAGGCGACCTTCAAAGAGGGCAAGTCTGGGCAGGTGAGAGAAGGGGACACAAGAGGCCAGGGCCATTGCCTCCAAGCCACGTTGTCGCCTCTCCCTCCGGCTTGCCGGCTAGACCGGAGGTCCACCCTAGCCGGAAGCCGCGTGGCGGCAGGGCCCCAGGGAGCAGGGAGGATGGGCTGGCTGGGTGGGGCGGCCAACCGCCTGCGCTC